ACAAGACCAAAAAAAGAAAACCTGATGTGTAAAATGAAATAAAAAAATAAAGTAGAAACAATAATAAAGCAAAATGCAACAGGAAGACACCACAGAAATATCTACCCCAACTGGGGTGGCTCTGTTGCTGTTATTTAAAGTTAAAATTAATCAGGTTTAAATCTTCTGCAGAGGTTTAATACATTTCTCATGCACGCACACAAGTATTTTTCCTGAACGTCACTTGCAATGAGTGGCACTGATGTGACTAATTCCTCTAAAAACAGCTTTCAAATGATCTATTTGAAATGTTGGCAGTCTCACCACCTACTCTTTCGCAAGTGATTAGCCAAAGGTTAGCAAGCACAATATTTTCCCTCATTAGCTGGGAAAGTACCCCATATAAACAATCTTGGGGGATGATTTTACTCTCTGGTGCATGTCACTGATGCCGTTCCTCTGTAAAAATAAAAGGGCTGCATCATTTTTGGCAAATTAAGGATTACTACATTCTCCCATACTTAGAAAAGGAGTAAAAAAACTTACACAATATATTTAAAAACAACATACACAGAGCAAATGGAATTTAGATGGCATGGTTAAAATAAAAAATAAAGGTATTTACAATATTGCATCAGTAATATAACACAAACTTTAATCGCAAAATCAATCACACCAAAATAAAATAAAAAAATATTACAACTCACATATGTCTTAATACCTATAAATTCTTAATTTCTATCCAACGTTTTCCTTATAAAAGCCTGTTTAAAATATTAAACTTTTGATTCACTCTAGCTTAAACAGAATCTAAAATGATTTGCTAAGTATTACTGATCACTTAGTCTTTGTCTTAAGTTTCGAGATTTTCCATTTTCAAATTTCCTCTTTTTAAATGTTGTCACCCCTTCGGTCAGGTCTCCGAGGGAGGTGACTGTCTTCTCTTTAAATATCACCGTCTCCTCTTCTGGAGTATCCAGCACTGGAGGCAGTAGATTGTCACTCTCTGTACTAGGAAGCTCCAGGTCGTCCACTTTTTCACTGGGAGAAGAGAGGAAAACATAAAAGGGTCAATGTACATGGAGGAAACAACACGGTGTACTGCAGAGAGTCACATCCATATTTAATTGTCAAAGCAGCTTGAGCCTGATGCAGTCTCCTAGTCAAGATCATCACCATGGCAGGGATCAAAAAAACCCCCCATGTTCTTTGTTTCTTCTGTGTGGGCTGCCATAAAAAGTGAAAACCTGAGACCTCACTCTGTACAGAGCTGGCAGCATGGCCCAAGCACTCATCCTGGAAATAGTCCTGTAAAAGACAACAGGGCTGCACGTGTGTAAATTCAAGATTGTTGAAAGACAGCAGTCAGTGAGTAATTAGCAATGGTTCACTGCCAAAATGCTGCTGAGTAGTTTTCCACAGGTGTCCATCCTTGAGAGTCTGCATAACAGAACAGAGACCAGGCTGACAAAATCAGCCATCAAGTGACCCCAAGTAGGGAGAAGCAGCTTTGGAGAACAGGATCACAGCTAATGCTGATCTGAACAAATCAAAGACATCATCTAAAAATCACCAATTTTAGGAGGTCAACAGCAAAACACAGTGTTCCACAAACATACAATAGAGAACACCCAGTTTGCAGAAAATCAGCTAAATCACAAGTCCATCGGGAATTGCACCAGTGCTGCACAGAGATACACCTTGTATTCCTGGCCAATGCCTACAAGAAGTCTTTCAATACTTTCACCAGTGTTAGTCTGGTGTCCGCTCGTGTACTACACCTAGTTTCAGGTCCTATGCTTCAAGGAAGACATGGATCGGTGCTCAAGCACCCAAACAAGAGCCACAAAAATGACTGCAAGTCAAGAAAATGTGACTGTTGTAGTGTCCTGAAAATGTAAACCTCCTGAAAGTGGCTGGCACTGTGCCTAGTCTCCATTTAAAGTAAATAATGAACAACTGCCTTTGTCTCATTTACATGTGTGTACATATCAAGTCTGTGTGTTCATGTACAGACTGATATAAAAGGTTCAGTAGCTGAAAGGACTTTTTACTGGACAGTGCTTTCTAACAACCCGAATGAATTTATCAGCCCTGGAGTCAGGGAGCTGTTAGCTGGTCCAGTACAGGAGGTGTTACGTGAACTGATCAAACGAGGGTACCATCTCGAAGGATGTGCAACAGTGATTAAATTAGTTTGAACTGTGTCAAAACTGTACCTGCTGAATAATTTAGGACTAAAATGGTGTGAGTATGAGGGAAACTACCATTTTCATTCTCCAAAACTTCATCTAGACTCCTCAAGAACCCCGTAACAAGAAACTGGCCATAAAAGTCAGCATTTTTCACAACAGAATGTGCCATCTCAGGCATTATGCAGTAAAAAAAAACAACTTCCTGATCAGATGCATGTAATGAAAACATCTGCAGTCCATTGGCTGGACATAGGAAAGACAGCTTCCAAATTTAAAATTGGCGTAACAAGATTACATGTTTTGCCTTTCATCTCCTTATTTAAATCATTACAGAAAATGTCTCCCCCTGCATTCTGAGAGCCTCCAGGACTTACCTATAGAGACAGCAGAAAAGGTTGTAGGGAATTTTGTTTTCTTGTTGCTTAACTTTGTTTTGAAATGAGAGAACTCAGGGAGCAAGAAAAACAGTTCAACCAGAAGTGTTTTACTGCAATATTGGGTGAAAGTTAGACAAAAAAGTGTCTTTTAGACTGTGTCCTTCAAGTGAAGAGTTAGAGTCAGTACAATACCACAAAGTGAAAAATAATTCACTGCTTGTGGAAGTAACTCAGCCAAACATATCAGGCTTAGGTAGAAATTGCTCAGTCTAGAAAAGCATACTCATTACGTCAGCACCTATTGATCCCACAGGGAAGGAATTCAACGCAATGCTAACCCAGCACGATCAAGATCGGGTTGCTGCTGGCCCTAGAAGATGAAGATAGATCTTGAACTCCAGGCAGAGTTAACCCAATGAATTACTCATCAGAACGAAACAGAATTTAGCCTGGAAGCTGGAGGCCCTGTGAGAGCTGCCTTTGCTGTTCAAGGCTGTAAGCAGTTGAATCAAGAACAGTCACAAGAGCTCCTGAGGCAGCCGAACCAGATTGTTGAAGGAGATGATGTTAAGGAGCATAAGCTTAGAGTAACTACGTTTAAGCAGATGGTACTCAGACTCTGAGAAAAATGATGAGTGACAATGATCCTTTAACTCACTTTAATTTAACCACAACACCACCATTATCCACCATGGAGAGCTATTACTTAAAACAATCACAGTGGAAAGAACTGTATTTGGGTTACATTTCCAACCACCGCTGTGCTATTCTGCCATAATTCAGAAGAAAAAGCTTCGGCTCTTCAAAATAGGTATTCTGGAAACAAACACTATGAAAGTAACTATGGTAAAAAGATTCTCACCATGGTTGTTCTTCCTCTTCTTCTTCTTCTTCTTCTTCTTCTTCTTCTTCTTCCTCTTCTCTTTTTTCTGTAATTGCTATCCATTTTCCAGAAGGCTTGGTCTTGTTAGGTGCATCACCAGAGCCTTCCTGGGAAGCTGATGGACTCTTCCCTTTCTCAGCAGTTTCTTCTGACTTCACTTCCCGCCATTTCCCATAAGGACTTTGCTTTTTAGCTTTGGGCGATTTTTTCCCTCCCTCTGAGTCTTCACCATTATTTCTTTTCCTCTAAAGAGGAAAAAACCCATCTTAAGCAAAAACGTCTAAATAAAAACACAATGTAGCTTTCTTGTACATCTTCTCTTTACAATTATCTACTATTCATACTTTTCAACCAAGAGTAAGTTGAAACAATAAAATCATATTGTAATAAAAACTTTAAATCTTTTCTCCTTGAGCTTTCATCACATACAAGGTTGAAAAATAATCTTAAATGTTACAAAAAGTTAAAACTGGAAAATCTCATCTATCAAGGTTGAAGTTAGCAAGGAGTAGACAATACAAACTTACTTAAAAAGAAAGCTTAGCATGTTTACAAAATAAATAAATAAAAAGAGGTCAAAATTCACATACAGCTTTCTGTGCATGCACATACACACACTTTATGTGGTAGTAGTTTATAATGATGCACAGTGATGCAAAACTATGTATTTTAGAATTAACAGCTGTCTGTGAATACATGTTATATTTAAACTGTCTCTGCCTGTTCTAAACTACCTGTTTCAGAAAAACCATGACCCAACCAGAGCCATAATGACAGCCTTTATCTGAAGACAAAATTAATTAACTGATACAGGTTGTGTACTAGGTGTTGCCAATGTTTTTCTCAACTAATAAGGAAACTACAACCACATCTCTTTCAGTCAAAAGCATTCCCTGAAGGTCTTTTGGCAGTCACATTTACCAAAGCAGGTTAGAAGTCATCCTCACACTGAAACCCAAACCATTCTGTGGATTGAGAGAGATGACAGGGACCTTTCTCAGGGAACATCTCATTTCTTGCAGAATTCAAGCTACTTCTGGTGGGCTGAAGGAAAGATATTGCTTTGTATTCTCAAACAGTGCCACTAATGGGCCAAATAATTGAAGGTAATAAAGGTACTAAAGATTCGTTTTATTATTCAAACAAGTGCAAACTTCTACTTTCAGTCACATGGTTTAACCTCAATACAGTGAATATAGCCCAAGACAAGAGATAAATCATCTTACGCTAGAAAAGTAATACTGTATGTAAAATAAATCTGAAGAGAATTTACCTTCAAACCTGTTTCTGAACTCTCTGCTTTATTGTCACTGTCTTCTGAGTCTGATTCAGACGCTTTGGAATCTGTTTCTGCAAGCTCTTCAGAACGCCTGCCACGTTGACTCTTCTCATTTGAAGATGAAACAAAACCAGCCGGCTTCTCCCATGTGGATACTGTCCAAGATATTTGAACAATCACATTATTTACGTTTCTAATTCTGATCTGTTATTGCTTTGACAACATCACCTTTTGGAAGCAGTGCTGCCTTATGCAAAAATACAGCAAATAATTTAGCACAGGGTTTGTTTTAATAAACACAGTAATTTCACTTCCCAGCAGAGTTACAGTCATGACAGCTGAGTTCACTGTGGATAAAGCTTGTTTTAATTAGCAGTTAAGAAAAATATCATGCACAGCAAACTACAGTCCACAAGACTGTGGCTCCTCTCATCATTCCACAGACAGGATTGTCCTCCTGGGACAGGTCTGCCTTCCCCAGGACAGACAAACTGTCCTCTGAAGTTGCCTACTTGATTTGAGTTGTCCATTGACTACAAAGACAGGATAAGGTAAAGAATGCTAACTGTGGGTCTTAGCTCACTGGGCAGATAAACCCCTTCCCTGTGCTAATTGGCTCAGTAATATTAGGTCTCTAATGAAATAGCTGTCAAGCAAACAAGGAAATAAAAACATCAATCTGAAAAGACATTAAAGTATGTACAGGATATGACCTCATTTTCAATTAAAAGGTAGTATTCCAGCAAATGTGCTGAACGGAAATATTTAAATTAAGGTTGACTCTATGGTCTTAAGACTGGTTTTAGTAACAATAAGGCAAAAGTATACCAACTTTCAATCTATAATTTCATTTAAGCTTCCAAAGGTAATAAAACAACTATTTTTCCAATCATCTATTTCCAAAGAAATCCCAAACTGAAAACAACATTTAACAGGTATGCCTCTAAATGTATCTTGAAGAAGTAAAGGTGTAAGAAACTGGCAATGAATGGCCTTGAACGAACAAAAGAGTCTCTGAAGGGTACTGCTGCCATGTAGCTTCAGACCAGTAAGTGAGAAAGTTGACTTTCCTCGGTGACACACATAGCCAGTGGAGTAGGGTGCAGCCTCCCAAAGGATGACCCATAGCAGGAGCTAAGCCTCACAATTTGTCTTGTCTTCAGAGGACAGGATTAGCGTTAACAGAGCTGACAAGTAATTGTCAAGCACTTCCAAGATACTTACAGCTATATAGAAGTAAGGAATTGCTTTACAATCTCATAAGCCAAAATTTTAGCAAATACAATGATTATAAAGACATCCTTCACGAGTGTCATGTGTCCATGAAGAACTTTAAAAAACAATAAACCCAAAGCCAAAAAATGTATCTGAATGTAGAGGGCAATGTTTAAAAATAACCAGCAACTCATTTCCCTTTCAAAAGAAAAAAACTGCAAATCATTTGAGCAGGGGAGTGGCATGTTGAAAAACTGAAAGGTTTGGTTGGTTTTTTTTCTATTCTTGGCATTCAGTAATGCCCCTTCATACCCAACAGCAGAAGGAAAACTCATAGCCAGCATAAAATCACTTGCTCTCCAGAGAGGCATCCTTGACCTTAAAATGATTCAAACAGATTTAGAAAACAGATGCCTGTTCTGGGGGAGTTACCTCAAAAAAACAGGGATAAGAAGCAGTAGGTAGATTGTAGACTCTCTTATCAATGTTATGTCAGCAAGAAGAAAACTTTAGATTCTTATTCAGTCCTAGATACCTGTCAAGACAAAATCCTGGCCCTTTCCAGTTTCCAAACTATAATTTCAATATATGTAGAAAAGAACAACCTGTATTTGAGTTATAAGTTGAATGTCTGAAAAAACCTATGAAGCACAAATGCATGCACACTGAAAATGCAGCTATAAAGCCAGGACTAACTTAAGCAACAAGTATACTTCAGTTAAGGTAACGGCTTAAAAAATACAAAACTTAATAATGGCCCTAAAAATGGCTTGGAAAAACAAGCTCTCCTTACCTCCTGTCTGTGTGTTATAGTAATAGGTATGACCATCTTCAGTGGTACCTTCTACCCACTCTGCTCCCTGAGAAAAAGATACAGGAGCTAATTTAAAAAAGTGTTAAGGATCAGCCAAAGCATCACTTTGAAAGACTTTCTGAAAGAGATTTTGAAAGATTATTCAACCCTTGAGTACTTTGTGTACGTGATAATTTTACTGTTTTAAAGCTTGAAACCCTGAAGTTGTTAGAAAGTATTCCCTTGGACTCAAATGAGATTGAATTGCCTAACTGGAAGTACTGCAAATTTTATCAGACTATAGTAAAAGCCATAAAGGCAATTATTTTACATATTTTTTTCTTTTCCAAAGAATTCACACCTTAAGTTGGCATTTCCTGGTTTTGTCATTCTCTTAAGTAGATATCAAGAAAAAAAATTTCTGAAAGACTCAGGGTTTTGTGAGGGCTATAGAAAAACAGTAACAAAAAATAGTGTTACAAATTAAACATTAGCAAACAAACCCAAAATCTCTAAAATTTATCTCAAAATGGATCTTCACCAAAAATACTGAAGCAGCAAACTTTG